GGAGTGCACTTAGACAATGGGCTGAACTGGAGGATCAACACTGACGCTGTGTACAAGAAGGGGATGAGCCGACTCTATTTTCTGAGGAAGCTGAGATCCTTCAACGTATGCAGCAAGATGCTGGAGATCTTCTATCAGTCTGTGGTGGCTAGTGCACTCTTCTTTGCTGCGGTCTGCTGGGGGGGCAGCATAAGAGACGGTGACACCAGCAGGATCAATAAACTGATCAGGAAAGCTGGGTCAGTCATCGGCATCAAGCTGGAACCCTTTGAAGCTGTGGTGGAGAGGAGGACACTGAACAGGCTGTTGTCCATCATAGATAACCCCACCCATCCTCTCCACCTGCAGCTGGACAGACAGCGGAGCTCCTTCTCCAACAGACTGCTGCAGCTCCCCTGTCACAAGGACAGATACTGGAAAACATTCCTGCCCACTGCAATAACTCTGTACAACAAATCACCTCTGGCTGGAAGAGAACTCTCTGCTCCAGTTTCTCTAGAAATAAAACCACGTTGTACATTTTACTCATACATAATCTGTTCAATTTGTAATACTCCATATTCCATATGTCATATATTTTGAATATATATATATATTTGTATATATAATATCTGCATGTATATTTTCTATTTCAACATGTATATTTTCTATTTTATTTATTTTTCTTTCTATTCTTGTATATTTTGTAGTTTTGTTTTATTGTAAAATGCCTTTTATGCTGCTGTAACAACAACAATTTCCCAATTTGGGATCAATAAAGTACTATCTATCTCTATCTATCTATCTTAACATCTATCACTGTGTATATCACCATTCAAACATCTTTTAAAAGTTGAACAAACCCCACAGCTCAGTAAAGACTGTGGAATGTTGACTTTATTTGATCATGTCAGTAAAAACCAGAGGTGGGAGTAACGGACCGTCTACACAGCAGCGTTAAAAAAATCTTGAAACGCTTCTGCCCATTCACTTTGAATGTGGTGACGTCACTTTCCCTCACTTTTCGCCGAACTGCATTGTGGGCAGGCGAGCGGAGATTTTCAGGATTTTCAGGATTCAAAGTTGAACAATGTTCAACTTTTGAAGCTGAGGTGGAAGCGTCAGCCAATCAAATCCCGTGTACGCAAATCTGACAGTTCAAGCTCTAGCCAATCAAACGGCGTGTATGCTGGGAGAGACATACCGCAGGTCATTTCCTCATATTCCAAAAAATGGAGGAGAAATTAGCGGTAGGGAATCAATCACCCGGTGCTTTATGACCAGTCCCTATTTACCTACCGGGATATAAACCGGAGGAGCCAGGCATGGAGGGAGGTGGCAGAGACAGTGGTATGTTTTCGCCTGTTTGGGGAGTTTATATCCAGTTTACTTCAAACTTTTTTGCTTCGTATGTCGCGGGCGGGAGATTCATGTGATTGGTTGTTCGCAAAAAATCCCCAAGCTTCAGATACGCCCACCTCCAAGATTTTTTTAACGCTGCTGTGTAGACGGTCCGTAAGTCCTACATGTGCAAGTCATAAGCAAGTCTCAAGTCTTGACCTACAAGTATCAAGCAAGTCCCAAGTCACTGTGGTGAGAGTCAAGCAAGTCAAGTCAAGTCATTGCTCAGGTCAAGCAAGTCAAGTCAAGTCATACGAAATTCTGATGAATAAGCCCAGTTTCCGCATTTAAATCAGTTAAAAGACAGTGGTTATGAAAATGGATTCAACCCACACTATGATCTTCATTACATACACAGTTAATCATTTGAAATCTAATTTAGACCGATGACAATCATATTAGATTCATATTAACCCTAGAACTGCAGACAATATAGCTAGGACTCAGTCAAAAAGTCTGTTCAAAAAGGCAGAATTCCAGGTAAGAAAATCGTATATGGCATTTGCACATTACACATATTTGCCATTACACATATTTAATTAAAATTTCTGTTAACACTAGAACCGCCAACAGCATCAGCACCTACATAGATATCATTTTCAAATCATTTAATTTGTTCCTCTTCATAATTTCCTTATAAACTAAGTAGGACGATTTAAAACTCAGTTAATTGGGTTAATTTAGAAATGGCTTCAGTTTATCATCATAACAGATCAAAAAGTTCAGATTCATTTTACAATAAATCAAGGAATGATGCACTTCTACAAACAAAAACAACATAATTAAAACATTTAAACAAACTACTAAAAGTAGATGAACCAGGGCTGCCAACATTTGAGTTCAGCTTGGAGTGAGATTTTTTTTTTGGTGAACCGAAAAAAGAAACGTTCATGTGTACAGTGTTACAAATGTATTGAACATGTACAAACTAGGGTTTCCCATTAATGTACCGGGCGCTGCATATAGGTGTAAAACAGAGGTAAAGTGCTATTTTATAAGTGTGTCACCTCCTCTAGGGGCAGGGGCGGACTGGCCATTGGGAATACCGGGAGTTTTCCCGGTGGGCCGGTACCGAAGTGGGCCGGTCGGGCAATTCACTGTATATACTGTATAGTATAATAGTAAAGTTATTTAAGATGATGCCATATTTATCGAAGATTTACATTATAAATATTCCCCAAAATTATTCAAAAGCATATTCTTCAAAACTCCTTGCTGTAGTATGACCACCAGGAGACTTGATGTGTGTAGTGAGTTTGGTAGTAATAAGCTGTATAATAGTGATTGAATATTATTGTATTCTCTTTTTTCGGAGTTGCACTTTCTGACAGAGACCAATGTAATGTGTCCAGCTCGGAGGACGGCGCATATTGGCTTTTTTTTTTCAAAATGTGATTGTAGTTCGTTGTCAACCTTAACCACGGTACTTAGGAGACGTCATTTGTGTCTGAATAACGTTTTGTTCATGAGTTATTGATCCGTGAAATCAGAATCTCCCAATATCGTTCCAACTTTACTGAACTAAGCCAAAAGACCGTCTCATTTCGTAGACCGCTCAGTTTGCTGTTCCTTCACTTTATTTTTATATTTATATACATTTATTTTGGACGAAAACTTAGCGTGAGGAAAGGCAAGTGTGGCGTGAGTGCGTGAGATATGGGTTAATTGCGTGACTCTCACGCTCAATGCGTGAGTGTTGGCAGCCCTGGATGAACTACATTATTCAACAGTTTACAGTAACTTCTGATAATAACACAGGGGAAATAAACGAGGCATCTCTTTTCCTCTCTCTCTCTCTCTCTCCCTCCCTCTCCCTCTCCTGACAGCCCGTCAGTATCAGGGTTAGTACAAATGAATCCCTTGGCGGTTCTAGTGTTCATTTACCGTTTTGTCTTCTCTTTGCAATGCTTAATCGATTTGAAACCAAGTCTAACGTAGCTTAAACTTAACGTTAGCTTTCTAGCTAACACAACACATCCACGCACCTTTCTCTGTGGGTTTTTTTGTAGTGACGAATTAAGTTGGATGTATTGGTGGTCGTGTCACTGATCTTTATGCTGCAGACCCTGCATACCGCTGTTCTCTTCTTATTAGCGTCATCGACAACATAATCCTTGAATCCAAACTTCACTATTTTTGGAGTAACGCTAGCCGCTGCCATGTTAACTGACGCTCCTACCGTCTAGTGGGTTGGGTTGCCAGGTTTGCGCGCACGGCGCTATAATCACCCAATCACGTTTTTCGAAAAAACTAAACGTAATATCTCACTACAAAAACAAACGCAAATATTTAATTTTAAACAGTCAAGTCCTTTCAAGTCATCTGTCTCAAGCTTAAGTCAAGTCTCAAGTCATGAATACCAAGTCAAAGTCAAGTCAAGTCTTTTATCAATGTTAGTCAAGCAAGTCTCAAGTCAAAAAATATGCGACTCGAGTCTGACTCGAGTCAAGTCATGTGACTCGAGTCCCCACCTCTGGTAAAAACTAACATTCATATTTCTCTTTTTGATTATAATACTGATGAACGTTCAAACCAAAGCACTTTGGCAACTTACCACATACATTTTAAAATGCTTAATAAGCACCGTAACTTTCATGATATAATTTGTCGTTCATAATCGGTTGTTTCCGTGAACGGCCGAATGTTGTGTGACGGCAAATGCTGCGGCCGCAAGGCATTGTGGGGCAGCATTTTCTCCTCTCCTTTCGGTTAGGGAGGTTCAGTGGTTCCTAAGCTAAAGGAGGTTATAAAGGAAGTTTGAAACCTCCTTTCCTTTCATTTAGAGAATTCGAACGGCACTTATCATCATAGATATATATAAACACTATAGGACTCACCCGCGCTGCTGGCCAATGGAGACCGACGTTGCCACATGGCCGCCATCTTGCTACAGGCAGTGCTCTCATTCATAACATTATGGTTTACTATTTAAAGTGGACCTATCATGCTATATTTAAATGATATATTGTAGGGCCATACCTATATAAGGTATATTTATACGTTTCTGTTTTCAAAAATACCAAACAGATCATGCATTTTAGCCATGCCTCATTTCGCTCTATGTGCTGTTTGCTGTCTACGGGGCTGATTCTGCTGACCACGCCCCCCTGCAGGAGAGGTGAGCCGTGCTCTGATCAGCTGCTGGGCTGTCAGAAGAGGGGGAGAAAAAGAGATCTCCGTCCTCCGTGTTTTATTATATAGAGTCGTTATTCATTTGTTTTAAAGCTCAATAAATAACAAAGAAGACTTTTGACCGGCACTTTTCTAATTTTGTCCGGAAGATTTAAACTTTAACGGACATCTTGACCGGCGAAAGAAACTGAAACTGAAACTCTGCCGCACGGTCTCCTCGTTCCTTGGAAGAGGCGGAGAGGTGGGTGTTTGTCATCTGCTGGTGGACTAACCAGAGAGAATTACAGTGCTTGCCTCGACGGGGAGGGATTGCATTGAGCAATCCCTCCCCGCAAGCGTTTGCAGCGGGAGCAAACGCTTGCCTAAATGTGTCTTGGAGATAAGGACCAGCTGCACACAATAAAATACAGTATAACACAAAACCAATAAGACACACGGTGACACATGGCACACCAACAATCAATCATCGTCCAGCCTCAGCTTTGGTATTCTTTCACAACCATTTTATGGGTTTATTAGACAGACTGAGCAAACATAAACATATGTGGGGAACATAGTGCTGCGTATCAGGGCTGCGAAGTGCAGAAAAAGGCAAAGGAGGTAGAGAGATACAAAGTTTCATATGCTGAAGCAACAGAAAAGAAAAAACACCAAACGGACCCTAGAGATACCCGACATTTTAGTCTAAAAAGAAAGGGTCTGGTTTTAGGGTGAGAGACAGAGAGTGTAAGGACAATCGAGGAGCCAGTACCTGTGACTGAAGGTGGTGAGGCCCATCATGGAACATGAAGATTTAATAAATACATAGTAGGTGGCGATATATGCTCCTATTGGTAGCGATTCACCATTAAACAAAGAAGAAGAAGAAACATCAGGGGGAAAGAGAGGGAGACACACAAGCACCCACTACGGCACATAACACATGTGCACACACAGTTGGAGCTAATGCCCTTTGAAAAGGACTGTTTTTGTGAGCTTCTGTCTCATGCTGCCACTCTGTAAGCTCAGAGTAGTTGTTTTTGCAATGTGATGCAGCCTTAGCTTAAAAAACAGGGACACAACTAATGTCAACAGCGTATGGTGGTGACTGTCAATGCCATACTGTGTGTCGGCAATGTGCTCCCCGAGCAAAAACACATCCTCTGGACCTATCCTCTTCCGCACAATGTAGAGGACCTCTAGCAGTTTGATGGGCTGTGATCGTCTGGAATCTGCTGATGCCTGGCGAATTACCCACACTGCTGCCCTGACAACACTCACTGTGCCTTCAGACGGAATCACCAGGCCTCCATTGTTTCTTAAAGTCAGCAGGTGGTAGCTCTTGTCCTTACTGGCAGATGCAGCGTCCGTCACCAGGCTGGCACGGCAGACATCACAGGACAGCTTCTTGAAAGTCCGTCGCACAACAAATCCTGAAATTAGAGGTGGACCGATTAATAATAATTAATAAACATGGGGAAATTAGAATTTTCGACGGACTGTGAATATTTCTTTTTTTGGACTATCGTCCGATTAATCGCCCATCGTTTTCACCGCAGATTTTGACTATTGGCACAATCGGTTATAAGCTAAATACACTATCGGTCGACCTCTACCTGAAATGTACACAAGAGCGTTGTCCACAAGACCATCGAAGCGGGTGGGAAGGTAGCTGTGGTCATGTACAAGGGCAGGAATGTCAGCAAATGGGGATGGAAGATCTTCTCCTTCTTCTGCAGAGGACATATCTACAGCTGACAGGTTTGTAGATGTGTCGATGGGGTAGGACTGGGCAGCAGAGGACATTGCTACAGCTGGTAGGGACTCTGTGTCATCCTGTGCCGTCACATTACCTTTGCTGCTTGGTTTAACAACCCCACACCGGGCCATCAGCTTCCGGAAGATGTACTTGAACTGGCTGGCATTAGGGTTGTTATTCCAGCCACCTTAAAAAAACACAAGATATGCAAGTATATTACACAGATATTCAATATATCTTTATGCTTTTAAAAAAAAAAAGACAAATTAGAACCAGCCACGCCTGAATGATCTTTTTCCACATAAATTAAGTTGAATGACATTATCATACAGTTCAGACTGTATCACAGTGGTGACAAATTCTGCAAACGGATAGACAAACACACAGACATTTTTCTTAATACTCAAAATGGTTTCTGTGACACTTCCAGATACTGTATATGTCTTCAGAACCGCATTTTTTCCAAAAAACAAAACAAACATATGGACAGACAAACTGAAAAGAATACAAGCATTTGCTGTCACTTAGTGTTGCGGCTGGTAAATATGAACCCTACCGGATGCTCTGATGGAGTTAAAGAGAAGCTCCAAGTGGTCCTGGCTGAACCTGTAGGTCAGGACATATCGCTGTCCTTCAAGCAGCACAGGAACCATCAACATCAACGTGTCGATATTGATGATGAAGCCCAGGATAGAGAGGAACCTTCAAAAGCAAATATTGTATTACTACGATGATCCCACCAAAACAGGAGACAAGAAAGCAGGGTTTATATATATCTATGCTTATCATGGCTGCCACTGAGGGACTTCCGGGTCATTTCACTCCGTTAGGAAGGTTCCTAAGCTAAATGGACTATTCGACCGCAACCCCGGTATGTCAGTGGTGTTCTGTAAAAGGAACTACTGTTGTAGTTACGGTTCCTACACGGACCGTAGGTTGTGTTACACCAGGGTCTGAAATAAATACACACGTAAACATACAACACAGTCTCACGGCATTTCGTGTTATAGTCACGAAATTAATCTATTGATTCGTGTTCACCAACACGATTTCGCCATTTTTTTCGTGTCACACAGAACGATTTTAAAAGCAATGTAAATAATAAGAAATTAGAAGGAAAAAGACATTTAAAAAAATACAGATTTAAGTATTCTGACACAGAACGATTTTAGAAGCAATGTATTTATATTGGTAGTATGTTTCGTGCCTGCACCAAATAATAACAAATTAGAAGGAAAAAAAGATGACATAAAATACAGATTTCAGTATTCTGAGGCTCTGAGCCCCATTTCTTTTCCTCACTGACGGCAAAAAAACTCAGACATTATACAATTGAAAATAAAAGGGATAGGGTTAGGGTAAGATATTGAGTAAGAACATGTTTTTATGAACCACACAGCTTCTGGTCTTCCAAGACCCGACCGGACAAAAAGACGTGTTGCAGGCACGAAACATACTACCAATAGAAATACATTGCATTTAAAATCGTTCTGTGTGACACGAAGAAAACGTGAAAATCGTGATGGTGAACACGAATCAATAGATTCAATTAATTTCGTGACACGAAATGCCGTGAGACTGGTTTAAAACATACGCTGCCGCTTGAGTCTTTATTAGTTATACACACACGGTGTACATAAAGGAATAACAGAAAGACAAAGGAGAAAAAGGAAAGAAAAAAGAGAAAATGGACGGAGATATACTGGCGCAACAGGTAGCTCTACAGTTAGCTCCACAGTTAGCTCCACAGCTAGGTCCACAGCTAGCGCCGCCAGGCAAGTTCGACTTTTCCAATGCTAACGAATGGCCGAGATGGATAAAGCGGTTTGAACGCTACAGAATAGCTTCAGGACTGGACAAGCAGTCACCAGAGTTCCAAGTGAATGCCTTCATGTATGCAGCAGGTGATGACGCTGAGGATAATCTGAAGGTATTACCCCTCACGGAGGTTCAGAAAAAGTCCTACGATGATGTTGCAGAGGCTTTCACGGCACATTGTGTGAGTAAGCGGAACGTTATCTTTGAAAGAGCGTGCTTCAACAGACGCAATCAAGAACCTGGTGAGACTGTTGAGTCCTTTATAACAGCAGTGCATACACTATCAGAAAGCTTGCAATTGGATGCTGATTTAACTCTAGAAAAAGCTATGAGAAGAGTGAGACAGAGTGCAGCAGTGAAAAAGCAGCAGCCATTGTTAAGAGGCACAGACCAAGCGACTGGAAATGTTGAAGTAATTCACAAAATGCAACATAAAGGGCAAAAGACAGCTACAGACAAAACAGAAACGAATACATCTGAATGCAGCAGGTGCGGAAATACAAGAAAACATGCATGGAAAGACTGCCCTGCTATTGAGGCAGAGTGACCAAAACAAAAAGGGACACTTTGCAGAGAAATGCAGATCAAGTGGGCGTGTCCATGACATCACAGAGGCACAGAGGGAGAGCAATACAGAAGAGGATTTTGCTTTCTTGGGAGAAATGTGCTCTGAGGAAGAGGATGAGTGGATTGAGACTGTGCAGTTAAATGGAGAAGAAACTGTTTTCAAACTGGACACAGGAGCAAGTGTTACAGCTATATCAAGCAGCAACTACTCCAGCAAAAAGCACGGGCCACTGCAACCGTCGCACAAAGTGCTGTACGGACCAGGAAACCACAGACTTAAAGTTAAAGGACGCTTTGAAGGTGAGCTGAATGTTAAAAGATCAGATAGTCTTTACTGTCAAATGAAAACAGATCTGTGCCCACCTTTGCCGAAACATTACTCCCACATGAAATGCCAAGCAGTTTTGTTGTTTATTGTCCATTGACCTACAGATGTCACACTTTGCTATGTGTTGTTTGATCTGATCATTCATGCCATGCCAATAAACACACTCTGGCTCTCCGTAGACATCCTTCTACGCCAAGATGAGAAGAGTGTAAGCGTGCAGGGATATCTCTCCTCAGTGAATCAGGAATAACGGCACGTTCGCCCCTGAACACTATTCCATCTTGGAAACTCAGCTCCTCCTATAACTGGAAGTATGGCCTGATTTCACTCTTTGTCTTTGTTTTGTCATTTGGCCATTCCTTGCACATTGTGTTGATGAGAATCTGCAGTGTTGAATCTTCTTTTGTTGCAGACCTGATTTCATTGAGACTGCCCTCTGAAATTGGTAAATGTTGTATCATATTAACAATCTCTATTTCAGCTTCAACTGAGCCTTGGGATGGACACTCAGGAAGATATGCTCTGCTCAATGTGTCTGCTAGCAGCATGTCTTTTCCTGGTACGTATACTACATCCAGATCATACTTCTGAACGCGTAGCATCATCCTTTGGGTGCACTGAGAAGTGGTTTTCTCACTATGACCTCCAACGGCTTGTGATCACTTTGTACTGTTACTTTACGTCCATATGTGTACTGATGGAACTTTTCCATACTAAACACCATAACTAAAAACTCCTTTTCTATTTGAGCATAGCCTCGCTCTGTTTGTGTGAGTGCTCTGCTCGCGAATGCGATTGGCTTGCCATGCTGCATGAGCACTGCGCCCAAACCTGTGTCTGAGGTGTCACTGGGTTATAATATTTCAGCACTGGAGCATTTTACAATTGTCTCTTTCAGTTTGAGGAAAGCTTCTTCATGCTGTTCCAACCAGCTCCACTCACAGTCCTTATGTGTCAGTTTCCTCAACACCTTACTCTGGTCAGAAAGATGTGGGCAGAACTTGGCCAGATAATTTACCATACCTAACAGCCACTGAACTGCTTTAACATCTGTCGGTTTTGGCATTTGTGTGATTGCCCTTACCTTCTCAGGATCAATCTTTTGTCCATTCGTCGTCAGGAGGTGGCCTATGTATGGGACCTCCTTTTGTCTCAGTCTGACCTTCTCTTCGTTGAGTTTAATGCACATTTGCTTGCATCTGTTGAGAAACTGGCCATTTCCCAATGTCGAGGAGGCTTGCTTGGTAGCACATGTATGCTGGGCAGTTAAACAGTCCTTCGGCGCCACTCGATGACGTACTATACTTGAAATAGTGGCTCTGCAGCAGCTTTACTCGACATTGAGAAACGGCCACAGTCCCAGTTTTTCATCATGACCACGTTCTTGCGTCTCACCTTGTCCTTTGATTAGCACATCATCTGCGATAATGTACAGACCACGCAGTCCATCCAATGCCTGAGTGAGCTTTCTCTGAAATACTTCAGGTGCAGGGCTTATCCCCATAGGCATTCTTAGCCATCGATAACGACCAAACGGGGTTGAAAACGTTGTTAGGTAACTGGACTCTTCTTCCAGTTTGACATGCCAGAAACCACTTTTGACATTGCATACTGTAAACACTTTAGCTTTTGAAAGGTCTGGGAGTACGTCTTCTATGGTTGGTAATGGGAAGTGGCTGCGCTTTAATGCCTTGTTCAGAGGTCTTGGATCCATGCATACTCTTGGCTTCCCATTCTGCTTTTGTACCACAACCATCCCGCTAATACAGTCTGTGCTGCACTCAACTGGTGTGATGATTCCTCTGCGCTGCAAGCCCTGCAGTTCCTCCTTCAGTGGCTTCATCATGGCGACTGGGACAAGTCTCTTGGGCAGCTGCACAGGTTTTACAGTATTGTCCACCTCTATTTTGTATTCCCCCTCAAGACAGCCATCTCCAGTGAACACATCTGCATAATCTGCTTTTATCCTTGGTCCACCGTCCACTTGTGTGCTTCTCTGAGGTAACAATAGTGTCTAAAGCCATAATGTTTTCATAATGCACCTTTATCAGCTTCATGGCTTCACACGCTCTTTTACCAAGCAGTGGCACAGAACAGTCATTATCCACCACCTGGAACATCAGCTGGTACAGTTTCTTGTTTCTGGGGTTTCTTAGTTTTATTTTACATTGCCCCAGTGGCCTCAGTTTTCTTTTGTTGTACATGACCAGTACAGTCTTTGTGTCTTCAAGTTTCGTATCAGCATTGAGCAGATTAATTGGGATGACATTGCAGGTAGCACCAGTCTATTTGGAATTTTACAACATCCCTGCCCAGGAGCATGCCTGCAAAGAGCTGAGTATCCTTCTCTTTACTTGTGTACATTTTATTCACACCTTCAGTCTCTAACTCACTGACACAGAGAATATCTTCATACTCATCACTCTGGCGTTCTGCAACATTGTGTACTGGTTTATTTTTTCTGTGTTCCAGTTTTGCTCTACATTTCACAGCAAAATGGTTCTCTTTTCCACAGTTTTTTGCACTTCTTACCGTATGCCTTTGCTTTTTTCATGCGTTTTTCCCTCAGAACTTGCAATCCACTGTGCTGCCGGTTTGTCTCTGGCGGGCTGCACCTTGCACTGCGTGCACCTCTTCAGCCAACGATCCGCATATGGTTTTGCTGTTCTCACGAGACAGCTCCGCAGCTCTGCAGAGCTGTGTGCATGCGTCCAGCATCATGTTTTTCTCCCGTAGCAGTCTCTCTCTCATGCTTGCATTGTTAATCCCACACACAATCCGATCGCGAATGAGCGAGTCTCTTAAAGTCCCAAAATTACACTTCTTCGCCAGCAATTTCAGCTCTGTCACATAACTGTCAATAGTCTCATCGGAGCCTTGGTTATTTGTGAAGAAACGATAGCGCTACACTGTCTCGTTAACACTGGGGTTGCAATGACGATCAAACTTTTCAATAATGTTGTCTACCTACCATTCATCACGAGGCGTTTCACTAATCAAGATTAGTGGAGTCCATGCACAACGTTTTGGGTGGTTTTAGTCCGTCCATTTCAC